TTGAAAGCTCGCGAGATCAGGATGGTCTCACCAGGCTAAAGCTACTTAGCTTTCCCACATAAATGATTGTACACCTTTAAATGATCATTTTCTCTCCAACATCGTTGTGGAGGAATTGTCCTCCACTCTTATTCCCAATTCTACCTAATTTTGCCCGTTCGAGATCATCATCCTGTTGATGACCCAGTCTGGAACACAATCCCACATCATCACTCCTCCACTTCTGTGCTTAAAAGTTGGCCAAACATCTTCACTTTGGTGTCATCTGTCCAAAGAAAACAGATGACACCAAAGGCCTGGTTATCGTCCTGCAGCAGTTTATCGCAGTGAGCTTGTCGCAGATATTTTTGATTTCTGCGCAATATTGAAGCGTGGTCTGTCCTATGTTATTCCACGCCACAACGCCAGAGGACCAATCAGGAACTATCTGTGGGTCTAGATACGGCCGAAGCAGGGAGGAAGTGGGGGCAAGTTTGTACGACAAAGGAGCGACATGAGGGCCAAAAAGAGCGGGGATCTTCTAGCTGCTCCATCTTTACCAGTCGTTTTCCACAATGGCGGTCATACAAACAGAACAAGCCGCTAAGGTACCAAACAGGAAATACGCATAGAGTAGAGCGGATGTAGATTTGACCAATCAGAGGCCTCCTGTCTGCGATCACCTACAATGTTGGAGAGATGCAGCAGAGTGCGGAGGGGGGCGGGGCATATTTGCGTTAACTGCGACACACACGCAGACAACCTGGTTTCTGAGCATAAACCAGCCTTTAGAACTCCAAACTCTACTCCTCCATGGTTGATTAAGTAGGAAGCTAAGCTAAAGTTTCCATCCTGGCATTTGAACTGACTAATCAGACTATTTGGTCTCATCTTTATGTAGCTCGCTCTCTTCAGAGCTTTTCTACTTAGGTTAATTTAAAGTTTAAAGAACCTGTTAAAGAACAGATCGTTTGTACCGATATGTAAAAAGTTATCTTTCTTTTTTTGTATCATGGCTGTATTTTAAAGTCACTGAAGCTTAAAGCTTTCCTGTTGGGGTAAGATGACTTCATTTTCTGCTTCATTCTTCTCACTTCTTTCATTCATGTTCTCATTTTATTTCTACACTTTAATTGGTTTCCTTGCTAAAGTCAGACTATCCTTGATTTGCGGCAGTTTCCATGGTTACATATAAAAAGAATGACAGGAAATTGATAGAATAATGAATATATTAATACACCCATGCACTGCAGCCCTTATACGCATTTCAACTCAGCAACTAAAAGTTATAAATTGAACTAAAAATTATAAAACCAGATTTAAAGCTGCAAATTGTACGCAGGATTTCCTGCTTGCATCATAACCTTTGCTCAGTCATGCAGATGACTGGATGGTATTGAGTAAATATCAACAGACCTGTTGCTTTTTAAGAACGACAGAACAAAAACATGCAGGTGGGCGGCGGCGCGTGGAAGGACAGTCGGTCACTGTCATTGGTTTTCCTTTAAAGATATGATCAGAGCTGCGGCTAACACAAAGGAGAAGGAACGAAGCTCTGACAGCTAACTGAAAAGACATTTACATGAATAATCATCTGTGCCTGTGTCAACTCAACGGGGGAAACAGATAATGTAACGACTTTGGATGATGGATTACATGTTGATGGATGACAGGGCGCTTTGTAACGCAGCTGACACTGACACTGATTAAAAATGCAAGAAGATTATTTGCACCATGACCAACATTAGAGTGGATTCTGAATGATTTTAGCTCAGAATGGAAAAATGTGATCATAATGTTGTGATTATAGAGCAGTTTATTCAAAGCATCTGGGAATTTCAGCTTTTTGTGAAAAAAGGGTATATTATTATGAAGTACAAATACTTCTTTACATTACTTTAGTAGAAATCTAAAAAGTAGACTTGTTAGTTTTGTTTCGTTTCAGCTAATTTTTTTATTATAACCTGTTGGTATTTAAAAAAATAAAAATAATTAGTTTCATCCAGGCAATTAATCTCTTTGTGTTTGGACTCGGTGCTGCCCCAACTTGTTGCTCACCACATACCAAAATAAACAGTTTTTCAAGATAATGCAAACTTAAATTTGACACTGTTACCATTAGTTATAAAACTAATAAAATGAAGTCTAAGGAAGTTATCCAGAATCATAGAAAAAAATTGCTCCTGTAATAAGGCGGTGCAGTAAAGCTTCTTTCCTTAAACATTATTCCTGCATTTCTTTTCTTTTATACTTTAAGAAAATAAATATATTTAAAAAATTGTATTTTTAAACTTTTACTTGGGTAAAAAGCCTAAGTTGATACTTTTTAAACCTCTTGTAATGATTTCAAACTTTGAAACACATTGATCTGGTGAATTATACTGAATTTGTCCCCCTCTAGTGGTCAAAGTTTAGACTTGCAATA